ATATCAAAGGGTTTGTGCAAACATGCTGAGGATCTGACTTTTTTTTTTCTTTTTAAAAATAAAATAAAAATAATTTCAATCAGATAAAGTGATGAACTAGTGTAGTTGGGGTTTAAGAATTCTATTGGCCAGAATTTGATTGATAGTATTGGTGTAATTAATCCTAACATAATATTTTAAAGAAGATACTGTAGTATTAGGTTAGTCCCATATGAAAAAATAATTATTGCATGACTAGTAATCTGTTTGCTGAGTGGAGTATTAATTAAATAATCTCAATAAGTTACGTATATGCGCAATGAAACTCAAAATTAAAATATGTGTATTATTGATGCAGATATTAGACTATTTAAAATAAATATCTTTTAAAGTAAGTGATAAATGTATAACAATTATTTCATTATGTAACGATCCGATAGGTCGTTTTGAGTACTAGCCCTTATTCCTATATTTTGAGACTTCTTATAGCTTCATTTGATGTTATATGAATTGCATGCATGGTCCGTGTCGTTTTTCGGAAAGTTTTCACGTGAAATTTTAAATAAAATGTGATTTTTGGCTTTAAAAATAGCTCGTATTGACCACGGTCAACGTTCTCGGTAAACGACATCGGATCGGTGTTTTGATGATTTTGGTATGTTCGTATGATATTTTTGGACTTATACGCACGTTTTGTTGGGGTCCGGGGTGACCCGAGCGCGATTCAGTGCATTATGTGAAAGATTGTAAAACTGAGTTTTCAAGTTGAAATGTTGAGTTTTGATGATCGATTCTTGTTATTTGATTTTATTTTGATGATTTGAGGTAGCGAGCGTGTTTATATGAGGTTATTACACTTGTTTACATGTTCAAGTTGGAGCCCGAGAGGTTCGGGTAAGTTTCAGATTGGTTTCGGATCATAGCTGGACTTGTGAGATTGCCTGTTTTCTGCTGGTGTAAAGGTGCTTCACAATCGTGAAGCCACTATCGTGATCGCGAAGGGCAGATTTTTGGGCTGAGGCTGGATATGCTACACGAACGCGAGAGCTGTATCGTAAACACGAGGGTTTCGGGGGGGGGGGGAGGGGGATTACCCTTCGCAACGCAAAACGCCTCACGCGAACGTGTAGGCTTGGGGAATTCTAGGAGATGGCAGGTGGTCCTTCATCGCGAACGCGACACATGGGTTGCAAACGCAGAGGTTTGGCTCGGAGATGCATTTGTGAATGCGATGAGGACCTTGCGGAGTGGAAAGGCCAACAGGCCTGTGCACATCGCAAACACGGCAGGTGCTTCGCGAACGCGAAGAACACCTCATGCCCAGTTAAATAAATACACTAAATCAGGATTTTGTCATTATACACCATTTATGAAACCTAGAGCTCAGACTTGAGAGGTTATTGAAGAGATTTTCATCCCAACTTCATTGGTTAGTACTTTTCTACTAATTTTGATGTATTTCTTAATTATCCATTGATTTTTAACTTAAAATTAGTAATTTCAAAGTAGAAATTAGGGGTTTCGGGTAGAATTAGGAGAAATTGAGATTTAGACGTCGATTTGAGGTCTTCAAAACAAATCACATAACCAAGCTCGGGGGTGAATGGGTAATCGGGTTTGGTCCGAATCTCGCATTTTGAACAAGCGGTCCCCGGGTTTACTTTTGTTGTATAACGACCCAGACGGTCGTTTTGAGAGTATTAGCCCTGATCCCCTATTTACTGCTTCCTCTGTATCATTTTATTCTTATGTGACTTTCCAGGAGGATTTGTTTTTGGTTTTGGAGTGAAATGGGGACACTTCCTTAAAATGGAACCTTAAGTTCTAGGAAATTTACCGTAGTTGGAATTGTGTGGAGATGACCCCGGAATGATGTTTCGTCGGTTCTGTTAGCTCCGTTGGATAATTTTGGACTTAAGAGCGTGTCTGGATTTTGTGATTTGGAGGTTCGTTGTTGAATTAGACTTGAATTGGCGAAAGTTGGATTTTGGGACGTTTGACCGGGAGTGGACTTTTTGATATCGGGATTGGATTCCAATTCCGGAAGTTGGAGTACTTCTATAATGTCAAATAGTGTGCAAAATTTGGGGTCAATCGGACGTGATTTTATAGGTTTCGGCATCCGATGTAGAAGTTTGAAGTTTTAAAGTTCATTAAGTTTGAATTGGGATGCGATTTGTATTTTTAGCGTTGTTTGATGTGATTTGAAGGCTCGACTTAGTTCGTATGATATATTTGGTTGAGGTCCCAGGGGCCTCGGATGAGTTCCAGGTTATTAACGGACTAGAATTGGACTTGTTAGGATTGCTGATGTTTGGCATCATCTGGCGTAATCGCACCTTCGGAGTCCCCATTGCAGGTGCGAGCTCGCAGAAGCAAGCTAAGGGCGCATAAGCGGTTTTGAGGAGCTTGGCCTATGGTCGCAGGTGCGAGGTGAAGGCCGCAGAAGCGGAGTCGCTTCCGCAGAAGGCCAGGAAGGCCGTTGACCGTGGAAGCGGAAGTACTCCGCAGAAGGGTGCACACAGCTGCGGCCTTTTTCTCGCAGAAATGGGATTTTGGACTAAAGTGAATTCCGCACCTGCGACGGTTTTTCGCAGGTGCGGAGCCGCATATGCGTTAAAGCCCTCGCAGAAGCGAAATCGCTGAGCAGAAAAGGGGAAATTTCGAGGGTTTGATCTCCTTTTTCATTTTGGTACTTCAAGAGCTCGGATGGAGGAAAAAATTTGCGAAATTTTCAGAGAAACTTTTGGAAAATTATTCTTGACTCATTTTTGGTTATATTCTGCTAGTCTATCGTTAATTTCATCATTTAATTAAGGGGTTGAGAATGGGGAAAAATTGGAAAGTTCTTCAACCAAATTTTGGGTTTTTGATTGACATTTTGGTATCAGATTTGAGAAATTTTGGTATGGGCAATTCATTGTTGAATGGGTGTTCGTATTTTGTGACTCTTACCCGATTTCAAGATGTGGGCCTGGGTCGACTTTTTGGGGCGATTTTCTGATTTCTTGCTAAAGTCCTGATTTCACTAATTAGATTAGTTTCTTATAGTTATATTTATGCTATGTAATTTCTTTTGGCTAGATTTGGGCCATTTGCAGTCGGAAAATCGAGGAAAGGACATTCTTATTAACTGTTTGAGCTTGGTTCGAGGTAAGTGGCTTGCCTAACCTTGTGTGGGGAAAATCTCCTTAGGATTTGGTGCTGTTGTGAAAACCATGCTGATCAGTCTACTGCACAGAAAAGTAATGTTGTGCAGCTGGATTTCGAAACAATTTTTGGGAACATGTGTTTTATGGGATCATAGTCTAACATATGATAACACAACATGGTAACAAGAAGTTAACTCAACAAGAATTCAATATAGATAAACTAAGGAAATCACATGCAAAACTGATCGAAAAAGGTTGGTTTAGCTGTATTCAACACTGGACCACATTGGTAATAATATGTATGCGTGTGAAATGGAGTGGCTTATTGATAAAAAAGACTAACCTCTCTACTTGGCCAACTAAACATACAGGGAGTCAGGCAAAATACAAGATGAAACACATTGGTTACGAGGATCACACAGTAATCTTCCATGATCAAATCCTTAGGGAGGAGATCATGGAGATTAATGTTTTAACTAACATGGTGTTCTTTTTTACAGGGAATGTTACTGTACCTATGCCTTATTAATTTGTAAACCTTCTAATGATGATATTAGTACTTTGTACTCATTCCATTGAAGGGGAGTCATGGATGGGCATAAGCATAACATCAATGAAAGGAAGGGGCAAATTTGATGCCCAGTTTTAGTACAGGAAAGGTCATTCGAACTGGTTTTAGCAAAGATCTATCGGTAAAATGACTATGTTGAGGTGCATAATCTCAATGCAGCATGATTTTTCAATATCCCAAATGTCAAACAATGCAAAGATTTCTGTTGAAAAGTCAAGTAATGCACACGATTTCGGGCATAAAAACATCACGCTGGTGCAATTCTGGGCAAAAATTTCGACAAGACCTTCTAGGAACAATTTTATGAAATAAAAAAAAAAAAAAAACTGGAGATGTATCTCAAGGAAATGTAAGAATAGGACACCTTAGAAGGATTTCAAGACAAAAAACATAACCAAACTCAGAACAAAACCATGCGAAAAGGAAGATCAAAACAGTGCAGGTGAGCAGCCATGGGCAGTGCCTTTTCACAAAGTCAATGACAGTGTGAAGCATTATTCATCATTCTATCATTATTGAGAACATATACTGGGTGCCTCTACGAGGATATTACTGGGAATGGAGCTATACGGGCATCAAGCAGGGTCTCAAAATATCAACACTTGGGCAGTGCTAAGAGTACAATGAAAAGGGGGCTATGCGACAGAATAAGACTATACGTACAAGGAGCTGATTTTGAACATATTGGGCTATTATATGGAGGAGTGGGAAATACAAACTCAAAGAGGATGGGCCTATTTCGTACTCAAGCGGAAGGACAACAACGTACATGGATATACACGGCTAATTCTATGTGGACAGGAGAGAAATTTTATTTTGAGTGAGACTCACCCAACAATAGTTGTATGAGGCCTTCCCTATTTTTGACAAGTGTATTTGTGGGGTCCATCCACTAATATTGGATTGATTTAAATAAGAAAAAAGGGAAAAAGTGAATTTGTTGTTGATGTGGTTCCCACCTTATATATTTATATTCAATAAATAGAAAACAAAATAGATAGTACAAGAGAAATGGAGGGAAAGAGAAAACGTGGAAGCCATTTTCCCTCCTTAATTACCATATGTGGTCATCACAATGGAGTATAGACTCCAACAAAATTTCTCATCTCTTTGACTGTGGATCAGCATAGCCCAAACGAAGGTCATAACAAATTTATATTCAAGCAAAGGAAAACGGCATTCTATCCAAACGTAATATTCTATATACATTTTGTATCTATCTGTCTTCTTCTTGTTTATATTTTAACTTTTATTATCATAGTTTATAGCTTTCTAAATTCATCTTCAGTTGCCAAAGCTTAAAAACTGAACCTTTAGAAGTTATTCATCGATATCAATATGAAATACATAATTGTGCTCACAAAATACTCTTCTTGTCAATATCAGTGCAAAATACAAATTGTGCTCAAAATACTCTTCTTATCAATATAAAATTTATGTCTTCTTGTTAACAAATACAAATTTGTGCCCACTGACATTGCGACTTTTGCATTTGATCCATTTTGCTACCATACCTGCAAGAAAAATTATCAATACAAAAATATTGTTTACTATAAATTTAAAATAAGATCAATATTAACTTTTATTATCACTGTAATCTTTTAGTGCTAAAATGAGATGGTGGGCCAAATTTGCACAAAAGATTTCATTCACAACTATAGTGATAAAGAATAGTGCCTAAGAATAGACTAAATTATATCACTGTAATCTTTTAGTGATAAAGAATAGACAACAATGAAAAAAATCTTATCAAGGACATAGCTTCAGTATGTATAACTGGACAGGGAGGGGGAATTCACTCTAAGTTTATTTTCTAATTTTTTGGTCTAAGAGGGATTTGCTTTTGTTTCCTGAAACAGCAGAAACTATTGTACCAGTGGCTAGAGGTGGAGTTAATTTCATTATGGAGACTACGACAGTGCCTACTACTCCTGTTTCTTACCAAGATCATAATTCAAATGATGAGAAAAATTCCACAATGATACATAATGTGTATAATATCGACAAAAACTTTGCTTTTAAGATTGGCATGAAATTTGGTTCCGAAGAAGAATCATACAATGCATACAATTCCTACGCCGTGGCAAAAGGGTTTGGTGTTCGAAAAGGACCAAAAAATGTTAATAGAAACAAAGAAATAACTAGATGTTTATTTCTTTGTTCTTGTGAAGGGAAATCTGATAAGCTTTCCCTTTTCAAGAAAGAAAGCGACAAAGGTTAGAATATAGATGTGGTTTGGCTCGTATAAAATTCAAAATTTCAAATGGGACATGGGAAGTATGTGAATTCAATGATGTGCATAGCCATCCCATGATAGAAGAGAACTTGAGACATTTCATACAATCCGGTCGAAAGCTTACAAGTGCTACCAAAAACATTCTTGGTTCTATGGTTGATGCTAGTATTTGTGCAAAAAAGGTTGTTCGATACCTTCAGAATGAAGCTGGTGGAATTGAAAATGCAGGATTTACTGAACAAGATGCTCATAACTTCATACAAGCGCACAAGAGAAACATGATTAGTAGTGGAGATGCTCAAACTTTGGTAAATCATTTTATGCATTTGCAAGCAGAGGATTCCAACTTCTTTTATTTTTTTCAAGCTGATGAAGATGGCAGATTGTGCAACTTCTTTTGGAGAGATAGCATATCTAGATTGCACTATGAGTGTTTTGGGGATGTGATGATTTTTGACACTACATATCGTACAAATAGATATGACATGATTTGTGCTCCATTTGTTGGTGTGAATAATCATTGGAAAAATGTTTTCTTTGGATGTGCATTATTGTGCGATAAAACGATTGATTCTTTGTTTGGTTATTTCAAACATTTTTGAAGGCAATGGGAGGAAAAACACCAAGAACAATTTTTACCGATCAAGCTCATGCCATAGCGTTTGCCGTTAAAGAAGTTTTTCCTGATACATGTCATCGATTATGTGAATGGCATATTGATAGAAATGCTCAAAAGAACATACCACATCTTTACTGGAAATCAGGATTCAAAGAATATTTTGATAAACTTCTGTGGAGGTGCACGTCAGAGATAGAATTTGAGTTAATATGGCAGAAAATGATAAGTGATTGGAATTGTGGGAGTAACACTGGCTTCAGAAGCTATATGACTTGAGGGCGAAGTGGTGTCCCGCATTCAGTCGTTTTTTTTTCTCTGCAGGTATCAGATCAACTCAAAGAAGTGAGAGCACAAATAGGGTCTTTACAGAAATGACATGCAAGACAATGAGTATAACTGAATTTGTAAAGCACTACGAGCAACGAGCAACTGAAATGCGTGATATTGAGGCAACTGAGGATTAAAAGTGTCGAGGAAAACCTAAACTTTCCATAGAAGATTGTGGGATCGTAAAGCATGCTGCTAGTGTTTACACCAGAAGAATTTTTTCCAGATTTCAACATGAATTTTTGCAAGGGACAACCAAAAAAGTAGTCAATGTTGATACTAGTGGGACTTGTAGTAAGTTTACAGTTTTAAAGGGTGAAAGTGGGCAAACTGAAATCGTCCAGTTCAATTCTCTGGACAAATCCATTATTTGTAGTTGCCAGATGTTTGAATCCATGGGTTGGCTATGTTGTCATGCACTAAGAGTTTTGTTCTTTGACTTGAACTTTTCTTGTCATGCACTAAGAGTTTTGTTCTTTGACTTGAACTTTTCTTGTATCCCGGAGCAATACATTTTGAAAAGATGGACTAAGAATGCTAAACATAGTAATGGATTTGAGGAGTACATCAATAAGAAGGAACCGTTAAAATCCTCTATGGCAATTCGCTTAAATGGTTTAATGAACGAGTCATTTGCAGTTATGACTTTAGCAGCAAATGATGTCGACTCCGAGGAAATTGCTAGAAAATATTTGTATCAAGCAAAGGTTGAGATAACTAAGCTCCAAAGTGCGTTATATGTAGATGGTCGTGATAAAGATCGTCATAAGTTTATTTCAACTACTGATCCTCTGCTAGGTGGTAAGGATCAGATTCTGGATCCAATAAAGAAAAAAGGAAAGGAAAAGGTATATGGGAGATTAAAGTCAATTACTGAGCAAAGAAGGAGAAAGACATCTCAAAAGGCATCAAAAGCTAAAGCAGGACTACCACATGCGTCCACCGGATTACATTTTGAGGTTTAATCTCTATACATGTCAAGTTAAATATTTTTTGTTAATGGTTTTTGCACCTTTCTGTCATCTAATAATTTTAATATGTATGTTCCTTCCAATTTCAAATATGCAGCTATATGAAAATTCAAATAGTACTTTCACCCAATTGTTGACTCAAGAATCAAGCTTGCAGACAGCATGTTGCAGCCAACACCAAGCTCAAACAATAACCAGTGTCGGCATCAATTGAAGCATAATAGGACCCTCTATTTTGTGTGAATATATTTGAATGTGCTTTTGTACTCTTCCTAGGGGTGTTATTAAACAATTTACTGCAGGATATTACACTAATATGACAAGTAAATTTTGTATTTTGATACTACTAATTTCAAGTGTAGAAGAGCTTCAACATCTAGAATCTATAATTATGAGATATCTGAAATATAATTTATTTTTGTGAGCAATATACAAAGAAGCCATAAGAGATTGAGAAAGAATTTACCTTAAATCCATGGATAAACGGAAGTAGCAGAAGATCTTTAGAATTGAGCTAAAATTTGACCGAACAGGATTAGATCTGTACAAGCTAGAACTTTGCATTGAAGTTAATCACAATCTATAATTGATTTCAGATTTACAAGTTGCATTCAAAGCAATCGCATATCTAAGCTTGGCTAAGTGAAAGAGTATGAACTATGAAAGTGTTGAATACAGCAAGAACTGGTTTAAGTAGAATAATACCTTAATACATTAGAAGAAATGGTGTTTGGGGAAAGTTTTTTTTCAGTTGATAAGAACGAGAAGGAGAAGTCTTCAATTCATTTAAGATGGTGTTTGTGATTTTGCGTGGGACCCACAGTCCACTTTACTTTATTTTTATTTTATTTAATCCTTTCAGTTGGCCCACATTCCACTAACTCATTTTTTCTTATTTAAATCAATCCAATATTAGTGAATGGACCCCACAAATACACTTGTCAAAAATAAAGAAGGCCTCATACAACTATTGTTGGGTGAGTTTCACCCAAAATAAAATTTCTCGTGGACAGGATTTCTGTTGGCTAATTTTTATACAAAGCTTAGATTTTTTAATTCAATTGCGTAGTAGATCAAACTGTAACATCAGTTTTGGGTACATTTTTCTCAAAATTGATAATATGATATATGTAGTAAACATATCGTACTGTCTTACTCCTAGTAAGATAACATGCTACTTTGTTTCTTTTTTTTTTTTTATAAATAAAAACTACCCCTAAGCACTGTCTGGTGGATTGATTAAAAAGACCCTAAGGTCTTCATGTTGAAGAGCTTCTCGACGCCTTCAATCGAACACCTGCAATAAGTTAGTATCAAATACAAATGAAAAGGGCGAAAGTCATACCATAGCAATAATATCATTTGAGGAGTGATATGTTCTAATTGTTTGGCAATTTTTCACCCTCCATTGTGCCAAGTTTGTAAGATCCCTTTCCGGTGACATCGAGGATTTGATATGGACCTTTCCAATTTGGGCCAAGCTTCCCTTCGTTCGGGTCTCGGGTGACTTTTCTCAGAACTAAGTACCCTATTTTGAGGTGTTGAAGATTGTCTCTTCGATTATAATATCTTCTGATTCGTTGTTTCTGGTCGGCCATTCGGACGAGGGCAACTTCCCATTTTTTTCTAACAAATCGAGGCTCTTGCTCATAGCCTCGTGATTTGATTCTTCCGTTGTGTATCAAAACCTGATGCTTGGTTCCCCGACTTCGACTTGAATCAGAGCTTTGGCGCCATATACTAAGGAGAACGACGTTGCCCCCCTATTGGATTTTGTCGCTGTCCGATATGCCCAAAGGACCTCAGGAAAAATTTCTCTCCATTTTTCCTTAGCGTCGTTCAACCTTTTCTTTATGTTTTGAATGAAGTCTTGTTTGTTGATTCGGCCCGTCCGTTCCCACTAGGATGATGCGACATCGATAATATCCTTTTTATTTTGTGATCTTCGAGGAACTTTGTCACTTTTCTGTCAACAAATTGTTTTCCATTGTGGCACACTATCTCGGCGGGTATCCCGAATCGGCATACGATGTGATCCCAGATGAAGTCTATAACTTCTTTCTCGAAAGCTTGTGCTTCAACCCACTTAGAGAAATAGTCAGTGATAAATTAAATGAACTTAGCTTTACCTGGGGCCGATGGAAGAGGACTAACGATGTCCATCTGTAAGGCCCCGTAAAAATTTGTGCTCAAAACCTAGTAGCTCATAGTGTCAAGTTCCGAATATGTGTTAGGAATGTGTAAAATTCTTCGCGGCTAGCAAGCTCGCCGCGGTTCGGACCCTTTTGTACTGATCTAAGTATTTAAAAATCAAAGAATCAAGTTTTTCAGAAATGTGCTATTTTGCGGTCCAGAATGCGGTCGCAAATCAAGTATGCGGACCGCATTTCTGCCGCATAATGAGTTAGTGGTTTGGTTAAAATTAAGGTCAAAATGCGGTCCATTATGCGACCGCATAACTAATATGCGGACCGCATTTCCATCGCAAAGTGAGTCAATGTGTCAGTCAAATTTGAGGTAAAAAATACGGTGCATTATGCGACCGCAAACCGCGTATGCGGACCGCATTTCCGCCGCATACCCAAACAGTGGAATCAGGTTTTTGGAACACTTTTTGCGGTCCATTCTACGGACCGCATTTCATATCTGCGATCGCAAAGTGCGACCGCAAACCTGACTCGGGCTTCAAATTTTCTAAATTTTAAACCCGACCCCCTTTTTAATAAAACACCCCAACCCCTCATTTTAACCACTTTTCTGAACAAAAATAAGAGAGAGGGAGGAGGGGTTCTTGAGAGAGAGTTAATCTTCTTCAAATTGATTCTTCAAAACTAACCGGGCCAGGAAATTCAAAGTGAGTGTCTTCATCCCCATTCTTGCAGGTAAAATCCCTAACCCATTTTCATTAATCTTCAGGTTTAATTAGGGGGGGGGGAAGTCTCATGCATTAATTCTTGATAATAGAGGTTGAAACATTCATGCATGTCTTTCAAAACCTNAAAGAATTGTACGAAGGAGGGTAGATAATCTAAATATGTTCGGGTAGTGATTGTGAACTTTGATTCTAAGAAATATGTGTTAATTTGTGCACTAGATTGACGTTGCTAGGCTTTTTGGTTAAGTTGAAAGTAGAAATTAAAAGGGAACTCGACTCCAGGTATGTATGGCTAACTTCGACCTTTGTAAAATCACCGTGTTTGGTGTTTGAGTGTTTGGTATGTGATCTCTACGTGGGTTGTCTGTGAAATTCTTGTGATTGGTATGGTTGAGTGTTCGTGGTTATGTCTCTTGATATAATGATGTAAGTAATTGGCAATGAACCAAGTGTGTGATTGTGAATGTGCTATGTGGTAAGAATTGTGAAACAAATGATGGAAGGAAATGGTAACTGATGCAATTGGAACAGCTGTGGTAATAACATATATGGCTTGTCGGGGGAAATTCTCGTTGTAACATAAAAAGCATATGAGATGTGGAATACGATTGAAATGGTATTGATGTCTATGGAAGTTCTTGTAAATTGTTGTTGTTGCTCTTTGAGAATTGTTGTTGTTGCTCTTTGAGAATTGTTGTTGTTATTCCTTGAGAATTATTGTTGTTCTTTGTGAATTGTATTTGTTGTGGTATTGTTTGTGAATTGTGATTGTTCGGTGGATCGGGTTGCGCGCCGCAACACGAAGTAATAAGGTGTGGGTTGTGGTGATAAGGGTGGCCGAGGTAATAAGGGTGGAAAGTGATCGATATCACTATTGAAATGAAAATATGAGAAAAAGTGTGAAATCATTGATGCGAAAATGTTGATGGGGAAAAGGAGAGATTGTCAACTTGTTTGCCTTGATTGTTTCCTTTCATGCGTATTTAATTGTTGGTTCCTTTACCATTTGTCACTTGTGTATGGTTTGAGGTTACTCAGGGCAAAGTTTGTTTATACATACCGGTACAATTCAAATGTACTGACGTCCCTTTTGCCAGGGGCGCTACATACGTGTTATGATTGTAGGTGGATCCGTAGCAGGTACTCCAGCCCACGACCGTAGCTCCCCTTCATCTTCCGTCAGCTGTATTGGTGAGCCCCTTTCCTCTCGGGGCCCTGTGTGGCTTATGCCGCTGTTATTCCGGAGTCTTATTTTGGTTTTTGTGTAAGGTATAGCCGGAGCCTTGTTACCGGCAAGTACTGTATTATCCTGTTGTATCTTTAGAGTCTCCGTAGACAGTAAATGTGGGTTATGAACTGATGTAAATCCATATTTTGTATGCTGGGCGGCAAAAGTGGTAAACCTCATTAATTAACCATGTATGTTTTGTAAAAAGGTGTTTTAATTATAAATGGCTAACTCCTTGATTAATGAGCAATGAAAATACGGGGTAACACGTGGGATAGGAAAGGCACCCAGGTCCGCTTGACTGGACTACCCGGTTGGGCGCCGGTCATGTCCCTCGGTTTGGGGCATGACAAACTTGGTATCAGAGCCTAAGGTTTTAAAAGAGTCCTAGGATGTCTTGGAGCCGTGTCTAGTAGAGCCCTTCTTATTGGTGTGTTGTCGACCACATCTATAAGTAGGGGGCTGCATGGACATTTAGGAAATTACCCTCTTCTTTGTTATTCTATATCGTGTGGTGAAGTGAAACGTGAAAGTATCTATGTCTAACTCGTGCTCTATTCCGAATTTTTTCCGGTAATGGCACCTAAGAAGAGAGCTAGACTCGGCCTTGGGGCCAATGCCACCCCAAGTGAGGCCATGAATCATGTACCTGATGCCGTGGGGGAGAGTGACTCCCCGGTCTTGAATCTACCTGGCCCGTCTATCCCAGACCAGAGTGTTCCTGTTCCTGCTGCGGCCGAGGGTGCTACCATCCCTCCCGCCGATATTCCTAATTCTGAAGCAGTTCCAGCTTCTGGTCCCAGGGTTCCTGATGGGGACCTTAGAGGAGCCATCCATATGTTGACCCAGTTAGTGGCCGCTCAGGCCCAGAGATCTCATGATGCCCCTACATCCTCCAGCGGACAGGGAGATTCCGCCAGTTCCAGAGTCAACCAGTTTTTGCGGTTAGCCCCTCCAGAGTTCTCAGGCACAGACCCAGAGGCCGATCCGCAGGATTTTCTTGATGAAATGTATAAGACCCTTCGAGTGATGAAGGCTTCAGAGACGGAGGGAGTTGAGTTGGCTTCATATATGTTGAGGGGAGCGGCGTATTCGTGGTTCGAGATGTGGGAGGATTCCCGTGGGGAGGGAGGACCTCCGGCTAGATGGGATGAGTTTGTAGATGCATTCATGGACCATTTCTTGCCTGCTGAGACGACCGCAGCCCGTTCCACTGAGTTTGAGGCCCTCAAGCAGGGCAGTATGAGTGTTTGGGAGTACTATATGGAGTTTGTGAGATTGTCCAAGCATGCTCCTCAATTAGTGTTGATCATGGATGCCCAAGTTCGGCGATTCGTTCAGGGTCTTAGTCCCTTGGTGGTGAATGAGGCTGCTACAGCGGCCTTACACTCGGATATGAATTATGGGAAGATTGTGTGATTCGCTCAGGACACAGAGGCTAGGAAGTTGAAGATACGGGCGGAAAGGGAGAGTAACAGCAGGGCCCGATCAGTGGGTCACTCAGGGAGATCAGCTCAGGGGAGAGGGCCATCAGGGCCATCCCAGTCATACGATCAGTCCTCAGCGAGCGCACCACCATCTGTACACAGTTATCAGTAGAGCAGTCACTTGAGACCAGGTTTAGGCAGTAGGAGATCCCATCAGTCTGGCCATTCGGGAGGGAGATCACAGTAGCAGGGGAGGGCT